AGTCAATTTTGCGACCTCTTGAATGTCGACAATATATTCGTTGACCTTTTGTGCACCATCCCCACTAAAGGTCTCCAGCTGCTTAATACGCAACTCTTGTATTTGTTTTATCAACGGATTTGTCATCATGTCAGTCGATGATTATTCAGGAGAATTATCACTCGGATTCTCGGATGAATCGCTCGAGGACGCCAGTGATCGCAAAGGTGGAAGCGATGATGCTTTCCATCGTTTTCTCGATGGCAGATGATCAATAAAATCCCCAGTCAATAACACTGATTTATCACGAACCTTAGAGCGGGTGGCAGGCGTACGAGTTGCCGTTTTATGTTATTAGTAAACGCACTCACAGTGGCAATCCACCCGGGTGTTACTGGTGTATGCTCGAGTGTATCACAGAAACAATCTACAAGTGCCGGAGTTCCTAATTTCTACGTTAAGCGCAACGTAGAAGTGGAAATAAAACGCAACAATAAAATGTATGCGAGAAGACAAATGTAGAAATCAAGTTGCAAAGTAAGACAAGAGCAAAAAATAAAAATCGTAAGTTAGTGATCAAGGTGAAACCGATATTTTATATCTAAAATTATAAGAGACACGTTGCTTCAAACAGTTTCATTCAAACATTTACACTTATCCGATTTTGATCGCTGATCTCACTCGGGTATTGATCTCCGGTGAAAGCGATTTTATTCGGTTGCACAAAGAGACCCTAGAATATGGCTTACCTGCCCTTGTTCGATGCGCTGATAGATGGCTAAGGTTTATCGAGAAAAGAATTAATGTACCTAAATTCATCTAACAGTAAAAAGATGGATTTTATTAGCTTGATCGATGACGAATATAAAAGATAATAAAATGTGTGTATAACCAAGATGGACGTTATTTTGAATGAAAATAAAAAAAGATGAAACGATGGTATTCAAAAAAAAGAAGAAGGAGAATCGAATATAATAGACGAAGTTCACGTGTAAAGTATAAAATAAACCATTTTTAAATGCGACGATAATAGAACGAATTCGAATATAATATTAAATGAATAAGAGAACCATACGATACGGTTTTTCACGTGAATAATATTCGATAAAACGAAGCTAAATCGACTAATGTCGGTTTTCTTTCGATGTAGAGTGTCGTCTGCAATCCGCTTGCGTGTCTGGTCGACGGTGTTGTGACCGCAGGAAACCGGTCACGGCACCAAATATTGGACTATATCTGATTCCTATGTGTATGTGTAAGCATGACTAAACACTCCGCTCTGTTTAACGATACATTTGAATGAATAGCATGAATAAAAACACAATCATATATACATAAAAGAGAATCTACTAACAAGTGGGGAGACGTTTGTACGGATTTTCCTCTTAATGTAATCAAGATGCGAAGAAAACGATAATTTTGCATCAAAGATAGTGCCTAAACACTTAAATTTGAAAACATGCTCCACGACATGGTTATCAGAAATAATAACAGGAATTAACGGAGCAACCTGACGATGGAAGAGTGTCCAAAAAGTTTTTTGAAAATTTATAGGTTGCTTCTATGTAATAGAATAACAAAGAAGACTTTCAAGTAGAGAGAGCAGGATCATTTTTACAAGATTTTAGTAGTTCTTCTTCTTCTTCTTCTTCTCTCCTGGAACAATTTCAAATTCAACCACTTTCAAACAGACGTCTCTGTTATTGCCTTAACTATTTCTATAAAATTTCAATCATAAAAGCCCTCTCACCTCTATTGATCTGATTTCGCAGTCTGCCAAACTTCTTTAGTCACATTAAAAAATATGTTGAGAGGTTACACAGGCTTTTGATAATGTTATAAACATAAAATATTCTTTGTTTTTCCTTCTTCTATATTTCAAAATAAAGATCATGCTAAATGGCTTCTAAAAGGAAGTTTGTTTTTGGATGTGGAAAACAATTTATCAGCTGGGACGAATACTATTTTGTAGCTTAGTTGAATGATAGAGATAAAGACAGAACAGAAAGAAGCAACGCACAAAAGAACACTACACAGTCGATGGAATCGAACACTTGAACTTCCAGTTCAAATGTACAGAATTTACTTTTGCACTAAATTGTCCAAAAGCAAGCTCTGAGGTAGCACACACTAACAACACAAAGCAGTTTAGAATTTTCAAAAGATTAGTTTCGAAGACAAAACTTCAGTGTTGATCAAACGGTTTTATTTAAAAATGAAAACCATTTGGGAAAAAATTCCTCACCTTTACAATTTACGTCGGCCGGTCGATGATCAGTTGGCGATCGTCGGTCATGCAACACTTCTCCTCCTGATAAAAACCCACCCCACCATCCAAACGTGCCCACGGTAACAATTGTATCGGAACATGCAGCCAGTAGAGCTAGATCTTCCTTAGGTGCGAACCACTTCGGCGTGATAAAAACGTTCGTCAGATTGCCGTATGTGCTCAAACAATATCCTTTCTCATCGCCGGTCACAAGAAATATCGTACGATTAACGCCATATTTGTGAATAAAATGGTCCATGGCGCTGATCACAAAAGCCGGCGAAGAAACATTTCTCTTAACACGCAAAAAATCTCCGCGCCGAATGTGAACGCCTACCCATTTGAAACCGGTAGACGCAATTTCTTGTCTCAGTTGCGCTTGGGTGATGTTGGTCTGAGAAGGATGTGAAAAAATTGTGCTGCAGTTTCGACTAAGTGCTTGTGCAAGACACCGGAAGAACGAATGCACTCTGCGAAGCGCATCTATTTTAAATGTCAGTTGTTCTCGAATCTCGTTGGTGTAATTGTCGAAAAAACGATACGACTGCCATGAGCCCGTTAGCTCAAAGTATCTAACAGCGTTTGGTTGCATAAGTTCAGGGAAAAAAGAACAATGATTTTTCCGCTTGATGATACCAGTTAAGTTAGTGATTTCGGTCTGGTTCATCAAATGACATGGATGAATCTGAAAAATGGCGCCGAGTTCTTGCATTATCGACCGGCTGATGTATAATCTACACGAATGGTATCGGGCGAGACCGTACGAACTGGCGAACATGAACAGACGATTTCCGAGTCGAGCGCCTTGATGGCGAAAGATGATGATGCAAGAGTTTTGGTGGACTTTATATTGACAAGATGGCGTTTTGCTGAATCGAGATGATGCTGACTGTTTGATCGTTGAAAGGATTTCGCTTTGCATTACGGTAAATAGTAAAATCGTTATCACAACAGAGTAGTAGAAACCTTGTTTCCATTTTAGCCAAACTATCTGGTCCAGGGATGTGCTGGGAAACTGCATGACAGGAATTGTAGATGACGGAGCACGAATTATAATGAACTAAATAGAATTGCTTTCATATTCATAAGATAAAATAACAGATAACGATACAGCCCATTCATACAGTATCAGACAAAAGTAGTGGACCCCTTATATTCATCAACAATAATCGTTAATGGCTTAGATTCTTTAGTAACTCTCCCCTGTTTATGGTATGAATTTATTGCGTCAATGGTTATTGAAAAACATATTTACAATCAACTGTGACATTTGAAACTCAAGATTTTTTCCGACAAAAATACATAACTCAGTTTAGAAACTAAACATTGTGACTCAAAACTTCCACCAAATACACAACAGTGTCTGTAGACTTTCAAATCAAAGTTTAAGGTTTTCATATTGTATAGTTTTGGAAACCTAGATGAGTAGACGCTAATCTGACATATATATGGAGCTTTTATATGCCGCTGCCTTTATATACTCCCGTAGCCGATTTGAGACATGAAATCCCCCTTTTTTAAAGAATTCTGGAAGCTGTAAGTCTTAATTAAAAGACTTACAGCTATTACCCATTTAAGACTTACAGCACAGCATGTAAAGCAGCTGAGTTTGCTCAGAATGATATCTTATCTCAGAGCATTATTAATGGTATTTCTAACCGACACTTATCCTTTTACTTTTTATTACTTCTACATATTTTCTATATAAGAAAAACACATGAGTAGGAGATAGCAGAGACATTTCTCAAGAAATCCTGAAAATTCTAAGTATCTTTCACAAACAGTTACAACAACTGTACTAAAAGAACTACAATAGAATGGAGGACCCATCCTTCTCGACAATGTTTTAGCAGTATTTTCCATAAGCTGCTATTATTATATTTCTGCACAATTATCATACATCTTACTCGTAGAAGATACAGCAGAAACAGTAACATTGGGCTCGCGGTCTTGTCTTTCTATACATAAATACATAGCTAACACTAAAAGATTCACTTAACTCTTACTTTCTGTGCTATTCTATTTATTGTTTGCATTTGATATGTAGAGAGGATTTTTGTACATTACAATCCTCGATAAATCAATAAAATTATTATTATTATGTTAATGTCAAGATCTTCTCGTGATCATACTCAACGAAGGGAACCAATAAGGTGAAATTTTCGCAGCGGTATTGGCAGCCGTATAACTCAAAAATTGAACGGGTACCTTTTTCTAAAAAAAGACTGGACGTACAGTACAACTCGTGTATTATAAAGTTGCATAAAAGGTAGAAAAGATACCTTTTAGTTAGTTTTATTTTAATTCGCCGAAATAACAGCTTATGGCACAAATTGCAGTGGACACTTTCATAGTCATAAAATAATTGATTGAGCGTATAAAAATATAAAATTTGTTCTTTTCTCGTTTTCTTGATTTCCATGTTCACCTCTATATGCGCGAAGAAGGAGGAAAGATAAACAAGATGGCTTTCTTTACAGTTGGAAGGTGAACTGATTGTATTGTAGCGTAGGAAAGTGTGAAATCTCAGCAAGATCCTCGAGTAAAAACGGTACCACAGTGAGATCTTTTGGACGTACCACGTGATTGATCCTAATACCTATGACTCCCAACCCCTTTTACATATTAGCAAGTGATAAGACCAAACAGAATATATGTTTTCCCTATAATTAATTAGTGCAGTTCATATGTTCTTTGATGTGTTATATATAACAGTTAATAAAAAGTAATCCGTAGAAAAAATGAGTAAAATGGAAACGAAAAGATAGATTTTATATATTTTCTCTCTCAGAGAGAAAGTTGCATAGTATGCAAACATCACAGAAGAGCGCTTTACATTATTCTACGATTGATCCGAATGATTCGTTTGCTCTGATTAATTCGTTCGTAGTCTTGACGGCTTCGCTAAGACGGGCAAAATTGTATCATTCACCGTTCTTCAAAAACATGAAACCCAGTCAGAAGAACTGAAAAGTAACTCCTACACATAGCAGATCAGGTCGATTATTTGGCGTTCAGTTTGGAAGAAAACGGTGTATAGTCTGATTCGTTTTTTACATAGACTCTCAATCTGGCGCCTGTTTGGGGGTCAGAAACTTTTTTTTCTACTCATACAATGGTGGTAGTCTTATAATTATAAGTTCTTGACTTTTGCTACTTTCCTTTCAGCCATGTGTTTTATTTTCTTGTGGGTTTCATGTGTTTGATGAAATAAATTTCAGTTCAGTTCAGTTCAGAAACTGGATTTACATTGAAATTAACGCTTTTATTGCTTTCTGTCTTTTTTCTGTTCAAATAGATGTTTTTCTTTCCACTTTCTCTTTCTATATTTTATCCTGGGGAACGAACAAAGAGAAAGAGAATATCTGTCTATAGCTTGTATCGATTCTGCATAAAAAACGTCAACAATAATTGCAGTTTATTATTAGTATAATTAGTAATATTAGTATAATTCATTAAGATAATGTAAGAAATTGATAGATGGCTTTATAAGATACATTTATTATTTTATTTACGAGTTACAATGAAACGGGTAATTTTAAAGTATTAACACATTTGCCACATTTAATTGCAAGTTCAGTTCTAGTCTAGACTGGTACTTTGTCTAGAACTTCTAGACAAAGTACCATTTTCATATCGTCTAAAATACTCCTTCAATTTATTATTACAATTGTTGTAAACTTTCAGCCTCTCGTTTCGTCAGATCCTTGCCATCGTTTCATTCACGAGTATTGTTTCTTTGCAAAAGCTTTTCCATTAAACAGTTAAATTCTATCATTGAGTAGACAAAATGACTTCGTTAAAATTAAATAGCTATTGATCCAGGTTTGGAAAAACGAACTAGTCCATATTGATACGTATCAACGTATGAATATATCAGCCATGTATCAGTTTCTTACGTTATCTTAATGACTTATATTAATATTAATTAGTACACTGTTGAAAAAAATGAGAAGGCTTTTGGACCCGACCCGAAATTTTCAAAACTGGACCCGACTGACCCGAAAATTTTTCTTAGTTGACCTAACAATAACTCGAAACAGAAAATCGTTTGTCTCGATCGTGTGTTATCATGAAGTCTAATCATCATAATGCGAGGCATATCTAAGTCGTTGGTTTTTTTTTGATTTAGTTATGTTTCTCTTTTTTCTTTTCTTTGACACCAGC